TTAATATCATAAAGGAGAAAAACAAACAACTCACAAGCTCATGGATACATACAGGGAGATTAAAAAGCATGAGCACATGGAGGGATAAGCACAGAAAAAGAGGTTTCTAACTTATCTACTAGCCTCTGTATGGAAAATAATCATTATGATGAACACAGGCAATTTAAAAGTAGTCCACACATGGTCAAAGCATAAGATTTCACACTAGAAACTGGCAGACAGAGCCAGGAAATTTTGCCAACGCAGAAATTTGATGTCAACAACCTATATCACTTTGAATGTGATTGTGCTGTACCCTCTCCACACATGACAAGAAAGAACAGAGTCAACAAGTTCTCCCTGAACAGATAACTCATTTTGTTCCTTTATAAGGAAACTTCTCACAGTGAAAGTGGAAGGAAATGATTTTGCTTAAAAACTGTGGTAGATAACAGGAACGTGATTACATCTACAGGAATGTTACAGATTTTAACAGTCTTTAATTACCATTAGAGGTTACAAAAAGACAAATAGGAACATCAAGATTACAACTCAAAGAATCTGAGCACTGAGCTGTTTCCACAGACTTAACTAATTCCACCTGTTATACTGATACATTACTGCAGAAGAAAAAAAGGGAATGCTTACGTGTAACAATGTCTTACATCAAGGCACCTCTGCAGAAGTGTACAAATACACTCTTCTAACATCATTTCAAGATAACCTATATGCAGCCTCAAATGATACCAGAGCAGTTGCTAAATAATTGAGCATACAATGGCTGTACTATCAACAGAAAACAATAATCTGCATTGTCTATATCATACCCATGGCACAGGGTCAATGCCTACAGCAAACCTGTAGCAGAATGATGACTCAGGCTGTTCAGCATATTTATTAAAACAGAAAGCCAACCTCAGATTTCTAGTTCGTTGGAAGACAGTGCATTCCTCCATTCCCAAATTTAGTCCACTGTCAACACCTCCACACCGAGGAAGGTCTTCATTTAGAACAAGTGGCAGCATCGTTTGAATGCCAGTCCCAGTTTTCTGTGGGCGTATCTCAACTTCTTATATTTCATGGGCAGTATCAAAACCAACCTCAGGAGGCAACAACACTGTGCTGTGCTCTAAATTTGAAGCCCTAACTTTCCCATAGATTTGATATACTTCATTTCTTACTAAAATAAAAGGTATTACTCAGTTTTTAGCTTTGGGAAACTCATTTTCACAAAAAGTTTCTGGCAAGTTCATGAGCAACATCACCTTTGGAATTTCTGCTGAATACAAAGTGCTCAAGTGCTGTCCTAACTAGAGGCAGAGAAGCAGACAAGAAACCTAGTGAATAAGACATCTTCATGTGCTAGTTTGTTGGGGAGAGCAGAGACATTGGATGCAGAAATATACAGAGAATATATAGTACAATTTAAAAAAAAAAAAAAAACAAACAGTAAAAATTACTTGCATCTCTTTACTCTTTTTCTGAGTAGATTTCTTTCACTTCAGAAGTAAGCTATGGTTCTCTGTGAACTATCGCAATACAAGAAGACTGTATCAGCCAGCAAGAAACTGAAGATGGTATAAAAATAAACCCCTTTCTGGGTTCTGTTCTACCTGGGGGATTATCCCTGCTTGGCTCTCCTCCTGCTTGCCCATCATCGTGTAGGATTTCCCAGCTCCGGTTTGTCCATAGGCAAAAATGCACACATTGTAGCCCTCAAAGGCATGCAGCAACATCTCCTTTCCAATATCATTGTACACACGGCTCTGTGATGCAAAACAGGGATCTTCAGGCTGTAAGGACACGAAAACAGCATCAGAACAGACGTTTCTCACATAATATTTCAAAAAGCAATTAGTTTTAATCTTCTGAGTCAATCTTTTAGGAAAAGGCAAACACAGCACGTTTACACATTTTTCCAAAGGCAGTACCAACAGGATGACACTGACAACCCTGGCAGGACCACTCCATCACTGTTGAAGAAGCAATCTCCACAAGAAATGAAACCAATTCTGGTTTGTGAACATTATTGGAACTATTGGACATGTTTTGTGCAAGATCACTGCCAAACAGAATTCAAGGTGCTTGGAATGGAGGGAGTTAACAAAAGAGAAGTAGAGCTCAGAGAGACGATACAAACAGGTCTAGGAGCTACAAAATCCCCCAGTGGCTGGTCTTGACAAGGGCTCAGCAGGGCAGAGGAAGAAAAATAAAAGCTGCTTAGTTTTTTTTAGACTAAAGGTGTATGCAAATCATTTAAAAAAATTCTTGCAGCTTTCTTATTTCCCAGCCTATAATCCAATCTAGATTTCTGTTTGCAACCTCACTAATTGTACTGGGGATTAAAAAATCCTTAAGTATGAAAATACACATTTTTAAATTAGCAAGTCGCTGAACCAGTCAAGGACAGTGTATCAGAACATTCTTCTATGGTTAAACTCAGGGTTAGCAATAAAACTGAAATATAGCACTGGGAGGGGAGGGAAACTACTTTAAAGCACTTTATCCTGGTAATAACATGAATATAAAAAAAAAAAACACAAAGAAAGCACAAAAAGACTTTATGACAGGTGGCTCCAGTGACAGAAATGCAAAGAAGGACAAAGCAAGGCATCACTTTCAAATGCTTGGCTGAAAAGTTTGTTATATTTTGGATAAAGCACCACCTCCACTACTGCCGGATGAAAAGGAATACTGCTGCAAACGCAATAAAAGAACAAATAATCACAAGACATCAAAGAGAACAAAGGTGCCAGATCTCAAGGCAAACACAGAACCTGCTCAAAACAAAACTTCATCAAATGAACAAATGAATCCTCCATTTTTTATGTAGCACATCAGGCACTCAGGCCCTGCCCTGGTCAGACTCTAACATGCAGTCACTGGAGGCAGTCCAAGACACAGCTCCAGGCATGGTACAGGATACAAAAATAGTGACAAAGTGGGATTTGCTGGATATGTTCTTTTTCCTGATGTCCTTTTCATCATTTGCAAATGTTTACCATGGACTTTCCTAAAAGTTATCACACTACTGAGAATCTGTGCAGGAGTTTTATGTTGCACACATGAGAGCAGACTGCACAGATAACATACCACTGAAACTTCACTGTGAACGTCACTACATTACTACTAAATTAACATTCTCCCTTTTCACAAAATGTTGCATTTTAACACTAGTTGCTCCTGAAATCAAGACAAAAATTAGTTGCGCTAACACTCTCAAGCTAGTTTCAAGGTTTTTTTTTCAGGTTGTTTTCCTTGACACAGAGTATCTGCTGGTTTTGAGTACTACTTATGTTCTTAATATTCCTCCCACTGACCCCATAATCCATTTGCATAGCTGCTCTGGAAATTAGGTCACTCAACAGGAAGAATTGTGAAAAGAGCTGCACAAATCCAAATTTTTCTAGGTTTTCATCGTGAAAATATCATTCTTAGCAAATCTGTGGCCAACACGATTGTCTTTGCACCATCCAAATTAATAAAATTAATGACTTCAAAAAACATGACCCATTCTTTCTGTATTTCTGGAGGAAAAAAAGGCGGGGGGTAGATGGCAGAACACAGTCCTGCTTTAGAACAATTACTGGAAGTCAGCAAGACCTTAGTACTAATTTGCAGGAGGGTGGGGCAGAGGAGTTAAATGACAGAGGTTATTGCTTTTGCAGCTAGTAGAAGCATAGGTCACTACTCTGCCTTTTCCAGATATGCCAAGGGAACCCGGACCACATCTTCTCTTGAACTGCACGAACTTGCAGACAAGTGAAAGTTGCTCAACGTAGAAGTGAAGTAACTGTGGTTCACATGCATCCTTAAATATTTACAACAGGACACAGTTGATGATTATTTTAAGTAATCTTCCAAATAGCTACAACTTGCTATCAGACTCCCAGGAGCTTAGCTTCCCCATCTCCCAAGCTCTTAATCTGAATGAGGGCAAGACAGACAGCGCAGAAACATCTGAAAAGGATGTCATGGTCAGAAAACGAAAAAAAAAAAGAAGAAAAAAAGAATGCAGTTAAATCAAATCAAGTAAAAATGGTTTTCTTCTGAAAGAACTTACCGATGTGTGGGACCAATAAGAGTAGTCAAAGCTGAAGGACTTTGGCGCTTCCTTAGGATTCTTTGGGTTGATAATACCTATAGGAAACAAAATTTAAACACTTAGCTAACTTGGCATTTAGCAACATAATTAATGAACTTGCTGACCCTCAAGTTAATCTGTGTGAGTTTTCAGAGAGTTCCCACACTGCAGAGCAGTAATAAGATTGAAGCAATAGACTCTCAGTTTCCTAATACTATTTACGTAAGCCTTATTTGAAATAGGAAAAACATTCCTAAAACGAATTGATGCTGCTCAACAAAATTTTCATAGCAGTACCTCTGTACCTCTTTCTCTCAATCCCTTTACTTCTTTCAATATTTGATCCATACATAAACATTCCCTGCAATTAACAGAAACTTTTCCAGATACATGTTAGGTGTGTGGGTGGCTTTTTTGGGTTTTTTCTTCCCAGCAATAAAACATTCCCATAACCTTTGCCTGGAAGCAATTAATACACGATAGATTCCAGTTCTTTTAATGGCATACAACATGCCTGTAGATTGTATATTCCAAGGAGGGTAATTTATAAGCACAGCTCTTGATGCCAAAGTTAATCTCTACTGCTTCTTTCTCTCAAGACTATAGTACTGGAAATACATTATCATTTCCATCAGCTGTTTTTGAAATCATCCACATAATAAGGATTCTAAAAAGGCACACTCATGAGGGTATCAAAATTAGATAAACCACCTTCGGTTTACACATGCCCAGCTGCATCTACTGCAGCAATTTGCCTTTGGGAATGATATACTTATTAAGACACATGCAAACAAAATATACAAAGAAAGAAGAATAGACACGTGGTGACACTCGTCCCAGGGAAAACTGACACTCTGATACCAAGCAAAGGATACGTTCTGATCCCAAACAACCATCCTACACTACAAATGACTACTTCGCACATATTCAGGCCAGGAAGGCCATGGTTCTAAAAGATGGGAGCTTCTTCCACTTCTTCTCTAAGAACTAAAAATCTTAACACCCACATCTCTTGGCATTTCAAGCGTTATGAGCTTAACATGCTGCAGTGAAGTCCCTGAAAATGCGGTTGCAGAATTCCCTTCAAAATGTAATCACTCCACCAGATGCTGAGTCCCTGTGCAGGGCTGCTGGCCAAAACTACAGTGTGGAGGAGGGATCACTTTGTGGACTGCAAATAGCAACAGTTGCTACTCTATTTCTTGTGGTCAGCTCCATTTTACTTGGATGCACCTTGTGCTGACATTCTTGCTGTACGAAAGCCGACAGACATGCAAAGCCAACGCAAAATATGCTGTGCACCAGTACAGCACCACGTGGCAGAAACGCGTGCAGCTTTGGGTAGCAACATGGGCATCAACACACAACAAAGAGGTAACCTAAGCAGTCCTACATGGCTTTGGGCTCCCTTTGCTAGTCTTGGCCCAACAGCAGTAAATCTACAGCACACAGGATTAAACCAGCTCTAAAGTGAATAAATCCCACAAGGCAGCTCTCCTGCCCCAAAGCCAAACCAGTTCTCTTTCAGTGGATTCCAGGCTGCTACGATTTACAACTTGTCTTGTTTTTCATTCAATTATTAGCAATCAAAGCTCTGGAAGGTAAGGAAGTCCTCTCTTGTACCAGGAAGCTCCTACGCAAAAAACAGTACAAAAAACACCGTCTCCAACTCAGTTTGATGTAATGTCCTTTGGGATAGAACAACATTACTTTCCTTTAATCATTTTGGGTTAAGAGCTCAAGGTAAAGTAATTTAACCATTAAAAGCAGAAAAAGCAGCAATAAATAGAATCTGTGCCTTTGTATTGCTAACATAATTTTAAGCAGAACGCACCTCTCCTGGCCATAAGTTTACATTCTTGTTTAATCTCCCCAGCATATCATTTTAACCCAAACTCTTGGTGTTATGTTTGAGGGAGGAATGACGGCTAGGGAAGGAGAGGAGTGACCGCCTCTACAGCAGCATAGCAAGTGTTCAGTCTTTTCTTTTTCATTTTTACTTCGTTGTCTATAAACAAGACAGCCACTCCTCCTGGCCAAGGCAAAGCTGCATTTGCTCTCTCCAAGGAAACGAGAGAGAAATCGCATCCTAAGCTTCTACTGCGTCAGGAACAGGAAACATTACAAGCAACAGCATAAATTTCAGCATTAATCAAAAATAAGTTTGATGTGAAAATACACACATCGTACCGATTGTTTAAAAAAAATGAAGATATCCACGTTATTTCCAAAAGGAAAGCGAGGAAGCCAAGCATTTAGTCAAAGCAACAACTAGCTTTTCCCTCAGCTGGCTGTGCATAAAAAAAGCACGTTGACCACCCATGAAAGACAAGATCTCCAGTGATACAACATGCTTAGTGTCAGGACACGCACTACAAGCTTGCCCTCACAGCTCCATTCTGCTGGCTTCAGGTTTAAATTTGATCCATCACATTCACAAAGCCCAGTTTAGGCTCCATGGTTTATGCTAGCAGTTCCCCTTCAATTTTTACTTTTATTTATTTTCTTTAGCTTCTCTGAGCTCCTTCACATTAAGTCCTGTGTGCAGCTCACTATTCTCAAAGCTACTTTCTAGGATGCACATTTTTGCAAAGCATATCCTGAGAAGCATATTAGGAAAGGGTGATCAACGTGCAAGGAGGCAGCTCTGTCAGAGGTTGGGAATGCAGCTGCCTGGCCAAAACCTTCCACAGCAACAGGAACAGGGTAGAGGAAACCTCCTGGCTGCCAGGAACTCTGCATGCTGTCCCTTGCTGCTCTGATCCAGCCACAGCCTTCTCACTCAACTTCAAGTGCAAGCTTGAACTGTTTTTATCCCCATTCTGGTTTCTTACAAACAGTCTACATCCTCCATCTTCAGAATCACTGGTTTAACAGAATACTGTCTGTCTGCAAAGGAATCCGGGAGAGCAAAACAACTGAGAAAACATAAGATCACAGCCTCAACTGATTTCAAGCGGACCAAATCCCTCTTCTCTTATAACACTGAGCATCAAGTGGGTAGCTGCTAACATCAGTCACATTTGACGTGGTCTGAACTTGAACCAAGTGGCTGGATACATAACAAGGTGAGATACAATGCCTGAAAGAAGATGGTGAGGCTGCTAATGAACCAAGAATTCAAATTAAAGCAGCTGACCTAGACTGAAGGTGTCTATTGCACCAAGCATCATCTTTGGAGGGACTTCTTAAGGAAGCTCATGGATACATCTGAAGAAAATTAGAAGACTTCCTGTAGTACAGGTAAGTTTTAACCTCAAATATCGTAAGCCAAACTGAAAAAAAAACATGATCACACAGAAATTAGACTGAGTGGGCACCACTCATTTCACATACCATGTTACTCAGCAAGCCGTGTTTTCGGCTGAACAAGGAAACAAACAGAATTAACAAGTAAAAGGATTGCTTCCAGGGTCTTCAACACTCACAAGCACAGTAAAAGCTTTTCAGTTATTTTGTTTGGTTTTTAAACCATGCAAGGCCAAGACGCATTGTATTAGTGAATCATGAACTAGGTCATCATCCATCTCCTCACACCACAGCAGACTCACGGCATGGTACACAAGCTAATGGTTTAATTACAGAGCCTCAGGAAATGAGAAAGGCAATAAGGCAGACGATCACAGCAGGAACACATTAATGGCCTTTTTATCTTACAGGATAAATTTGTTTATCTGATATTTCAAAGGTCCAACGTGGCAATTAACTTTTCTGTTTGCAGACTGAGACTAACGCTTTGTGCTGCAGCTATAATTAGTTACTGTCAGCATGGCACTGTAGCAACTTTGAACGCTGGAGCTAGCCTAAGCAGCCGGTTTCTGAGAAATTTGATCCCTTTTTCAGGCCCCCTGCTTTACCACGAGCCAACTCCTTAGCTCATTTGGAATCTTTCGGCTTCCCACAAGTTCAGGTTTCTGCACCAAACAGAACTGGCAGCGGTATTCGATCAGATCACCATCTTATACCACTGCCACCAAAGGTTACGTACAACTCTATTTCACATATGTGGAAAGGATAGAACAAGTTGAAGATGCTGTTTTCTGACTTCAGTGATTAAAATCTCTTCTGGGATCAGCAAAGCAAACTCTGGATTAATGGTCAGCATTTCCCTTTGGAATGGAAGGCTGAGAAAAAAGCATGGGAATATTCCTGCTATAAAAGTACTCTGCAGTTTGTTGGTCTGGTTGAGGGAAGTAAGCATCCACATCGTCGGTGGAGTGCTTTTAAATCTGAATTATGAATTCCCCCAAATTTTGAGTAACAGAATTGACCTTCAGACATAATATTCAAATGAGTTTTCCAAGTTTATAAGAAAACAGAATAGGTTAAAAAAATATCAGTTGTCAAGCGGATATAAAATTTACATAAAAGCTCACTGGGTGAATAGCTCTGTAGTGTTACCATTGAACTTGATTCCGTTTATTTAATTGAATACAGCAACATTTATACTCACTGCCAGCCCAGCCCAGACTTATAAATTCTGCAGAAAATAATCTTACATTTTAAAAGCTTCTTTCTCCTTACAGTTATATGGTAAACTGTAGAGAACTTCTTCACGCTGTCTGAGGTGCCTTTAAGCAGTAGTAATCCATATACTCTCTGAAGCTCAAGTTATTTAAACACTTTTATTTAGCTGTTTAATTTCTGTGGGGTTTGTTCTGACACCTGTACCTAGAAACATTTACGGATTTTATGTAGTATTGACCAAAAAGTAAGGAAACCGATAGTTTTAAAACAAGTTTCTTCACACCAAATAATCTAAAGCTGTGTATCATTACATAAGCAAACCTATGTTATCCTGATCTCTTTCGTAAACTTTGATTTTCTTAAGTGCGCTATTAAATGATAATACACAAGCCAGCAGCTGTAATTTCAAGCTACACTCTGTACTTTGTACATATAACTTGCCAGACACTCTTTGGGATGTGGAAGGAAAATAAATGCAACTAAGTCATTTTTGCAGACCAATCACCATCACTGAGGAATCAGAGCATAAGACTCACAAAGAAAAATCAGAGCCCAAACACAATGACAGTCTTCCAACGCAGCTCACAGGTACTGCTCCCATACCAGCACAACTTCCAAAAGCAGAAGCGTGCTCCAAAGCTTTCGGAAGGTTAGCATGACTTTCCTGGAGTCTGCTTATCAAAAGAGATCCTCTGCGATTACACAATTGGAAAACTGCAGGGGCAAATAAAGGATAAAAAGTGACCTATGGCCTGTTACCCAGAATATAAGAGATACTCATATAACTCCTGTTCCCACACTCCCTCAAACACAAAAGAACAATGCCCAGTTCTGCTTCTCCACTTAATCAACTGATACAATAGAAATGACAGACTTTTTTTCCCCTCCTCTCCAGGCTACTTCTTCATTTTCCGATGCAGCTGATCTGTATGGATAACTACAAAAAAAAAGAACTTTTTCAAAACAGAACAGATGGCTGGCAGTGCAGATTTAGATTACAAGATGCAACCCACATATTTTAACCAATTAGTCCTTGTAAAGGAAAAGTGTATAGTAGGAGCGGTACTGACTAATAAAAGATAAGAAGAAAGCTGAAGCACAATCAAAGGGATTATAATTTTAGATGTGCAGTATCAACAACAACAAGCGTATCTCCACAAAGCGTTTGATCCTACATGCCCTCACTAACAGGTAACTTCGTTTCTTGGCAGAGGCACTTCCACAGCCCAACCTCTAGCTCACTCCTTGTTCCTTAGGTAACATTTTCATACCACCCACCATCTGCTGGATCAGCCGGCACAGAAATAACATACACCTTCAGCCTTTCAAACCTATGGGATCGAATTCACTTCTCGTTTTTAATTTTAGCAAATCTGTTTGCAAGCTTTGACAGAGAGCTTCAGTATCAAGACAGTACCCTTATATTTTCTAACATGTATTATTTTGCATTCCAACTATCATTTCAGGATTTTATTTTTTTTTTTTGCCTTACAATGCAGTTTAGATTTGTTGAAGTTTATTTCCACAAAGCACACATCAAATACACACTTCATTTTACAATTGTAACCAGAGTGCAAAGCATAACAGAGAGCTAATAAAAATTTCTAGCCTTCTGTGATACTTTCAATTAATTGGAAGCAGCATTCAGTGTCCTCACTCCTTCCTAAACATACACCCAAACACAGCCCCACTTCAGGCCTTCATTTCTGGACTTACACTTCCATTCCCCTCTAAAGCAGAGTAAAGAGACAGTGGGAAACCTACAGAGGAGAAAGGGGGGTGGGAAGGCAAGCTCAGCCAAGATCAGCCCCCATTTCTATTCCCATCTACTCAGCTGCATCAATATTTTTGTGGGCACAAAGAATAAAGAAAACTCCTTCCTAACTGCTTAAATCTCATGTCAGTTTACAAGGTTACTGAATTCGTGGTTCAAATAAAATCTGCTTTCATCCCAGGCAGCACTGCTCCTCAGCATGCCATAAATCTTGCAGGTTCAAAATTATCTGCAGCCCTTTGTCTGGGGGTACAAGCAATGCCCTTCACTCTTCGAATGGAGACACAGGATGCAAAGCACACAAGAGGTAAGAACTGAAAGTATTCTCTTATTCCTCACTGCATTTAGCTCAAGTCACTTGATTCAACAGCTCCACCTCCCCAGCGATCAGAGTCATGTTTCGGGGCACGCTGCCATCAAACACGCCACATCTTGGTCGCTCTGGAGGGTTTTCCAGCAAGGAACAGGCTAACTGCAGTTTGCCCTTCAGATGAACACTGGCAGACAGAATTAACTTGGGCTAAATCCTGGGATTAGCTGACACACAGTCTGTGCAGGGGAGGGAAGGAGGCTGATAGGTTAATATTAAAAAAAAAGCAGCCTCCTATCAATCGCCATTCAGAAATAAAACCCAGTACTGGTGGAGGCCGGGTATGGAGCTGCAGGCACTGAACTTCCATCGTTCTGCAATGCAGTCTGCTTTCTGTCACTTCCCTCTTTCATCCCTGTATTCTTGCCCATCTGTCAATGCTGAAGGTGCAAACCCTCCCTTATTTCTACATACGAAATAGAAACAGTTCAAACGACGAGTTTTCACCTAATTAAGAGTTCCCACCAGCCTCAGTAACCCTCCTAGTGGCAGCATTAGCCTACCCAGAGCACACATTCCTACCAAATGCCAGCACACATTAAGAGATAACAGCTAGCAGAAAAGGCACAGTCCTGTCTACACTTTTGTTCTCGTACTTATTGGTAAAGGAACAGGTAGAAGTTGACAAAAAATATGCTAGCCCAGACAGAAATACAGGAGGGCTAAGTTTTACTTCTGTAAGATCAGTAACATTTAGGGAAACAAACACCAAATAATTCTTTACTGTGCCTTCTTGAAATTCTATTTGAATCAATACAAGCAGCAGTTTTATTTTATGACATCTGAGTAATCAATTTAACATATAAAAGAACTGGAACTTTAGGAATCGAATCCACAAGGACCAAATTAACATTAAATATACAGTCTCCTAAAATGTGTGTGTCTGGAAAATATATCTGCGCCATCTGTAGACTGGAATGACAACAATGAGAACACGTTCGTTACTGAGAGCAGGGTGGAGCAGGAATTCTTATGTGCTGGAACGTGAATAACACCCCGCAAAAACACGTTTAATACAGGCTTCTTTCCTAGGCATACGTTGCAATCAGATATATGGCTATACTGTTTTTATAAGACAGACTTTCAGGGTTGTTATTACAAGAGATAAATGAAGGGAAATGGACACTTCCAGCTTGTAAAACAGTGCCTGCTTTTCAAAGCATTGTTTGCATTTTTCAAATCATTAAAAGGAAAGGCGACCAAATAGAAGCTAAGAACAGCTCATTTGGAATTCAACCGGATTCTCTCCCCACTGTGGAATTTCAGCCCTGCACTGGGAGAAAGGTTGGGTGGGGGAGGGCATTGTGCTCACCAGCACCAGAGCAAGGCAAAGGCTCGCTCACAGAAGCTGCTGGAAAGCCGCTCTCATCCTCAGCTGCTCTTGCAGATCCAACCGCTATAAATACCCTCTCTACAGCTGGCGTTCTGGGAGAACAGCATGCCAGCAGGCTTCGCATCAAGTGGGAGCTAGTCGAACCACACTGCTCTAGCTATCAGAAAAGCTGAACCCAAGCCATCCCAAAACTTCCATTGTGATTTGATTACCTGACAGCGTCCTGCTGCAGAAGTTGTGCATCAACTTCATGCCGTGGCTGGCTAAGCACCTGGAGTTCTGCTCAATTATTTTCTCCTGTATTTTTTTTTGTTTTAAGATAATACAATCTCACCCCCCCACTCTCTGCTTTTACATGACTGTGTCTCCAAAAGCCAAAGGTCTTCTACTAAAGCTATTTTGACCTTCAGACACATTGTCAGGGCTCCATTAAAAGAACATCATGCAGCAGCAGAATCCTGGGGAGTCGGTTCTGCCAGCCTCAAGAGCTGAAATGATTCACACACAGTGAAAATGTTGGATTCTTGAAGCAGTTCTCATTGCAAGTAGAAGTAAAAATAATGCAGATTGCCATAATGAAAGAAGGACACATTACTTAAGCATTTTATAAAAGAAACACCTCTAAAAGCCCTTGTTCTATGTGCATGGTCAGTGGGCACTAATTCTGAAGAAGCATTTTGCGCAATTTTACTCACCACTGACACACAAAACCTCTCTGGGTTTGTTAGTATTATCACCTGTCTATCTGTACTAACTCCTTAACAGTTTTGCAGAAGTCCAACTGCAATTAGCTGAAATAGCTTGGCCATCCTACCGTCTTGCTCTAGGCCAAATATTTGCACCCTTAATCATTAACTGCTCACCTTCTCCACCCCCAACTTGAAGTCATCTTCCAAAATGCATGTATATGTTTTTTTAATGGTGTTCAGAATTAACATTTCAAGTTATTTTTTGTACAACCATGAGAAATGCTTTAGAAGGAAAACCAAGTACCTCACTAAGATTCCATGTTTGTTTTCTACGAAAAATTCCTGTAACAAAATTTATAAATGGGCAATATTGTAGAGCATTCAGAGACAGCAATTAAGACAGTCTTACAGACGAGCAACAGAAATCCCTAACCCTGCAAAAGAGAGGCCTAATGTTCAGATGATGTAAAATCTTTGCTCGTGTGTTCAGCATTACCTCTGACATTACCATTTCCCCTCTGACTCCCACTCCTGGAGTGCTCCCTCCAGTAGCGTCAGGAAAAAACTCCAGCAGCATCCCTCCCCTCCCCAGCAAACCCCCCTTATGGTACAGCTATTTAAAGAGAACAGCAATTGTCTCCATTTTCTCTCGGAGCCAGCTTGCATTCAAGCCTTCTCTTGCCTGTTATGGGACTTGCAACAAGTGTGGTAACCAGTGACAGGAGAGGCAGTAGAGGAACAGCGCCGCGACTGTGACTTGTCTTTCACGTAAGCTCCCAGTTCAACCTCCCCTGCAAGGCAATTTAGGCATCTTCCACAGGACACATGGAGTACCTTCTCAAAAGGCAGCCCACTTTTATAACACCTGTCATGACTGCAGTGTGTATTAACAAACTGGTCAAACATTCATTTTGTTTTAACAACCACAGTTATGAGCACGTACAGACCACAAGATGTGGATGGGGTTCAGTGACTTTCTTCCACTTCAGTTTATCTTCCTGATGCAACCTCAAGATGCAAGCAAAAAAACACTTTAAAAGATGAAAAACAAGCTGGATGTTGAAAATAAACACTAATCAAGACAGGCTTTAAAAACTTGTGTCTGCTTCTTGACAGGCACAAGCCGTATCGGAAACGGTATGCTTATTTTTTCTTTTAATCTAAAATTATTCATTTCCAGAAAACAGATTGAGAGTTGAGACTGAACTCTATCTATAAAAGTCAATCTTCCCACCTACTCTGTAATTTCATTGAAAATGTCTCATTTGTGATTTATAAGAGGAGGAAGAGTTATTAGGTAAAGCCACCACACTAAACTCCTTGCTTGCCTTTCCTACCTGTGTAGCAGCCACTCCACAGATTCCCACTACATTACTACCTACAAATCCTCAGTGCCAGTCTAAAGGAAAGCCAGGTTCTCACTAAGGACTTCTCTCACCAGTAACTTAAACCAAAGGTTAGTTTCACTAAAGCACTTGTATCATGGAAATATCTGAACTATGTTTACAGAATGCTACCGCAGAAGAAAAAACAACTTTCTATTCCCTTTGAAGGCGTGCACACACAATAGGGTTTCTTTGCCATTCAGCATGACTTTTCATTCAGAAACCAGTCAGGAGTTGGATCAGAACGCAAAAGATCAGCAAATCCTACTCATTTACCCTAATGAGTAAGCTTCTTTGAAACAGGTTAGTACTTTTTAGAGTCCTGTAACAGTGAAAAAGCCCAATTTTAGCAATTAATCCCTGTCCATGTACACCAGTAAAGTGCTAGGTGAATAACTGATTAGGCTACCTTGCTCCAAGGACCTTTCAGTACTTCTCACTTTCACATTATCCAAACACCAGCAATTTTAGCATTACATTTGAAATAAGTAATTTACACAAAGAGCACCATAAATCAAATCCCCGCAAGGCTAAGTCCTACTTTCCCACTCATTTTTATTTTGTTTCAGAACAGCTGCATAAAACAGGACTCATCTTAGAAGAAGAAGAAAAAAGGAACTCAAATTAGATGCTCTTCTATTATTTTTTTTTTTTTTAATTTTACTTAGTTTAGACACCTTCAGGAAAAAACACAATTAGAAAAAAAGATTCCCCCCCACCCTCTACAAATTAACTCCAGAAATCCTTACAAAGCTTTCCTGACACCAGGGATGCCTGCCTGAGAACCTAGCTGCCATCTGTCTGCAGCAGCAGCTGGGACTATTGTTACTGGCAGCCGGGACTGCTCCACTGTCCCTGTTTTCATTAAATACCTTAAGCAGTGCAGAAAAGAACTTTCCAACATTACAAAGCTACAAAGACTATCACTGAGTTAAGAAGACAATAAGGATTTTTTTCTCCCCATCTAAAATCCCATTTCGGTCCTAGCCTGAGGATTCAGTTGCCCTCCCATCTTTGAATATACCGAGGCTGTGCAGCTGCATTTTGCACAGTTTGTGGCAAAATCAGAGTACACAGTAATCTCAGATGAACCTGAGTTTGAAAAATGGGTTTCACTCCCTTCACTGGCACCCACAAGCTACAACATGTTATGAGATGCTAAAACATATCTTCATTATCTAATGCACAATCAGTTACACAGGACATATTACAAGTAGGACAATTCCTTATTTCCTGTCTTCATTATTTTAGTTTTCTCCACTTATCCAGCTTTTTAAAAGAAAAAGCCAACTAGGCTCTCCACTAGCGATGACTATCTAAATACTGTCTTGTAGCTAATAGCTTGAACCTCTGCTTCATTTCAACTTTTTCTTTTTGCATTATTTATTTATGGACAGAAGGATCATCAAATCATTTCCACCAAAAACAAAACAAACACCACAAAAGTACCATAACACTAAGAAGCTCTTTAGAAAAAGAACAGTTTGGCTTGTTATTTCAGTAATTTAAGGCAGCAGCTGCCAACATTATTTATATTTGAAATATTTTAAAAACTGATACAAGAACCACAGACATGAAATACTTTCAGATCTATAGCTCACCTCTCACCCCATATATTATGCAGCAGGATCTTTTTCCCGCTCACCATAAAAAACAGTAATTTATAGAATGGACTGACACTAACGAATGTTGTAAGATGCATTGGTGCAAACCACCCTGAACAAAAAAAGAGCAAGCAGGAGTTAACAATAAAACAACCAAGCAAGGTATGCTGACAGCCAGTGGTTCAAGACCTGCTCTTGAAATCTCATATCAAAAA